CACCGATTTTAAGTTTCTCTCTCTCCTCTCTCCTCTCTCTCTCTCTCTCTCTCTCTCTCTTTCTCTCTCTCTCTCTCTTACTTACCTTCTTCTTTCCTCTCTTCTTAGAGTCCATTTTTTTCATATTTGAACGAACGAACAACACTTCATCTGGACCATAAATTAATGAAAAATTAATCAATTTAAAGTAAATTAAATTGAAAATTTATTAAAAGTTATCCCAATTCAAAGTGTCAGACTGTTAAAAGAGGATGTAAAAAGCAAGCTTGCCTCCATGGTAAAAATAAATTATAACAAGTATTATAGTTATTATTCGTACATCAGCAAACTATTGCAATCACTCGTCACATATTCAGGTAGAGAGATAATCCATTTAATTCTCTCAAAATTATTTCACGAAATAAATAACATCATCTTCATCATCGTCGTCGTCGTCATCATTATCATCTTCTTCTTCCTCGTCAACTTCTTCTTTATATCATCATTTTCTTCTTCTTCTTCTTCTTCATCATTATCATCATCTTCTTCATCATCAACTTCTTTTTCATATCATCATCATCTTTTTCTTCTTCTTCATCATTATCATCATCTTCTTCATCATCATCATCAACTTCTTCTTCATATCATCATCATCTTTTTCTTCTTCTTCATCATTATCATCATCTTCTTCATCATCATCATCAACTTCTTCTTCATATCATCATCATCTTCTTCTTCTTCATTATCATTATCGTCATCGTCGTGCCCTTCCCCAATGATACATATTGTTAAGGTTAAGGTCACTCTAAATACCGCCTCCCCATTGGCCACTTGTTTCACTGATGATGCATAAATTTGCATATTAATTAGCGTTTTTGATAATGATTTTCATATTAATTAACCTTATATAGGAGTATGAGCAACTGATTTTGTATGTATGTATGCATGTATGTAAGTATGTGTGTTTGTATGTATGTATGTATGTATGTATGTATGTATGTATGTATGTATGTATGTATGTATGTATGTATGTATGTATGTATGTATGTATGTATGTGTGTATGTATGTATGTATGTGTGTATGTATGTATGTATGTATGTATGTGCAGCAATTTGTTGCTTTATCGTCTGTTTGCTTTCCCTCCTTAATTAGAATTCTTGAGGAATGATGGAAGAAGAAACGCTTCTAAAAATTATAACATTTTTGGGTTAATTACAAATTTATATATTATTATTATTATTGTTATTATTATTATTATTATTATTCTCCGTGGATCGCTGATGATTGGCGTATAGAGCAATCAGACCATATGTTCAACAGTTGATGTTGTTGTTGATGTTGTTGTTGATATTGATGTTGTTGCTGATGTTGTTGGTGTTGTTGTTGATGTTGTTGCTGATGTTGTTGTGATTTTGAGGTAGAGGACGATGACGTCATCTTAATGTCCATATGGGTGAGCAATCATTAAAAGATCATCAAAGTCATCTTTGCCCCCATCACAATCATCACTCTCTACAACGTCATCGTCATCATCATCAACATCATCTTAACAATCATCATCACCACCACCACCAGCAGCAGTTGCAGCAGCAGCAGTTCCAGCTACATGGTCACTATCATCATCATCGTCGTCGTCATCATCAGCGATAAAAACATTGTGAGGTAAGCCGAGCTGGATTACATAACATAACGGAGGTTTTTCTAGTATGGATTTATGCATGTATGTATATCCATTTGTATGTTTGTTTGTATGTGTGTTTGTTTGCATGTTTGTATATGCGTAATTATGTATTTGTTTGTGTATGTTTGTGTGATTTTGTGTGCTGTGATTTGTATACATTAGTGTATAACAATATATTACGTTTATATGTGAAAGTTCTTTAAATTAGTTCTCATCTTTTCTTCCATCTCTTTAGTTATTCTTCTCTCTCCCTTTCCCTCTCTCTTTCTCTCCCTCTCTTTCTTCCTCCCTCCCTCCCTCTCTCTTTCTCTTTCTCTCTCTCTCTAGTTTGTTGTATGTGTGCATGTATGTTGTGTGGTGGAATGATGTTAATAGCAGATAGACCGCAATAGTATTCAACAGTTTCGCTTTATGAACGTCGAGACACATACACACATATACAGATACACACACACACACGTACACACACACGTACACACACGAACACACACACGTACACACACGTCGCAATCACCGCATTTAAAATCACGGCTCAAACAACAACAACTACGGCAGCCGAACGCGATGCTACGGAAAGAGAAAAAAAAACACACAAATCTTAATGCTCCTCTCTGATTGGCTGGCACGCCTCAGCCAATGGGGACGAAGATAAGAGGAAGATGATGATGAAGAGGGAGGGATGATTCTGATATTTGTCAATGTTTATACGACAGACAATTTTGCCCGCTGCTTTCTGGCACACACATATATATATATATATATAAATATATAAATATAAATATATATATATATATATATATATATATATATATTAGGCCATATATATATAGGCTGGCAATTATCCATTTCATCAATTTTATTACTTGATTGAATTTTATGAGTTTTACAAAGTGTTCAAAATAAAAGAAGAGAGAGAGAGAGAGAGAGAACAGAAAGAGAGAGAGAGTGAAAGTGAGTGTGTTGGTGTGGTGTGGGGTGCCGATTGGTTAATTGGATGGTTGGCTGGTTTTATGATTGGTTAATTGGTTGGCTGGTCTATTTTTTTTTATTTCATTTTATTTTATTCATTTTTTTTATAGAATTATCGTTTATACTGCATTAATCACAATGTTACAATTTATTTTTAGACACTACCAAATTTATTTTATTTGTTTACTAATTAATTAATTACTTAATTGCTTAATTAAGTTATCTATTAATTAATTTTGCAATTTAAAAACATAATTCGCTCCAATAGAAATTGAAATTAATTAAAATTATTGATCTTAATTCAACAGAACTTCCCACAGATTACGAAAAATTTAAAACAGAAAAAAAAACTCACCAAGACCTAGAGACCAATATCCGGACTAACAGACAAACCCTCAGACGAACAGGCAAATACCAAGAGAGACAGACAGACTGACTAAGGAACAGACAGACTGACTAAGGAACAGACAGACTGACTAAGGAACAGACAGACAAATAAATGAGATCTGAGCCAGGTGAAAATGGGAAAATTTTGTCTGTCTGCTAAACTGCTTAGCGTTAATAACTGTCTATAAAACCGCGCGCTGACAGTTCAATTTCTGTCAATTTAACTTTATCGGCGTATTTAATTTAATTTAAAAACCTAATTAAAAGCAGAAATAATTTCAATGAAATGTTACATTTTGGTTGGAAAAGTTATTTGTTATATTAAATATCTAATTGAATAGATTCGTTGAAATCAAAATTCAACAAAATATTAACAAACCGGGTAAAAAATGTTTGCCTCGCGACCACTGGTCCATAATTTCTTCCCGACCGACGCCATGTTGGACCCCCTTGATTCGCCTAACCTACTAAACTATGCAGCAACCCCGTCAGTCGCCAACAAAGATCCTTTCTCAAAAATTAACAACAACATCAACAACAACAACGGCAACAACAGTCTCAGCAACAGTCTAGGCAACAGTCTAAGCAACAACATCACCACTCTAAATAATAACAACAACAATTCAAAATTCAACAGCAGTAGTAGTAACAACAACAACAGTTACATCAATGCAAATAATCTCAACAACAACAACAACACCGCAATAAGACGCCCAAACGTCAATCCAGTAGTGCCCAGTAGATCAAACAACAACAACAACAATAGCACATCCTCTCACCAAAACACATCGACATCTCTAAATAACTCCTCTTCCTCATCATCATCTTCCTCATCTTCTCACAACGTATCCAAGTCAGGCCTAGCCATAAAGTGTCAGTCAAAAGACTCGACAACGAACGATATGAGCAAATGTAGCAACAACAAGCAGAAAAGGCATAGAACGAGATTCACCCCGGCCCAACTTAACGAACTGGAGAGGGCCTTCAGTAAGACCCACTACCCCGATATTTTTATGAGAGAAGAACTGGCCATGAGAATTGCTCTGACTGAATCTAGAGTTCAGGTGAAACTTGATTAGGAGCTTGTTGACTGGTTGGTTGATTGTGAGCGGGTTGACTGATTGGCTGGTTGGTTGGTTTGTTGGTTGATTGAAGACTGGTTGACTGATTGGTTGGTTGGTTGATTGAAGACTGGTTGACTGATTGGTTGGTTGCTTGAAGACTGGTTGACTGATTGGTTGGTTGGTTTGTTGTCTGGTTGGTTGAAGACAGGTTGACTGATTGGTTGGTTGGTTGATTGAAGACTTGTTGACTGATTGGTTGGTTGGTTGATTGAAGACTGGTTGACTGATTGGTTGATTAGATTTGGTTAATTTGCTGGTTGGTTGGACGCTAGCTGATTAACTGATTGGATTGTTGGACCGCTTGCTGGTAGCCCGTTTCAAATTGAAAGATGTTTTGATCGTTTGGATGCAATGAATTTACTTTGCGACGACCTTAATAATAAGATTTTTTGATCTGTGACGACAAATGCCATAGCAGCAACAACATCAACAACATTGTTACCAGTTTAATATCAAATACAATACAGCGTTAACAACAACAACAACAACAACAAACATTTAAAACAACCGTTCCAAAAAAGAACAATTCAAAACATGGCTCTGGTTTATATACGCACACAATAAACAAAACAATCTTAAACAAACCGACAAATAGACAAACAAACACAAACAAACAAACATATACAAACAAACAAACATATACAAACAAACATATACAAACAAACAAACATATACAAACAAACATATACAAACAAACAAACATATACAAACAAACACAAACAAACTTAAACAAACGAACGAAAAATACAACGACAACCGCGGAAAACTTTTAGACCATCCATTAGAAGGCGTTGAAACTTTAATATATTTATCGTATTCATCCTCGCTCATTCCTGCGTTCGTTCGTTCATTCACTCATCCTTTCATTCATTCATTTATTCATTTATTTCTTTATTGGTTCACTCACTCATTCGTTCATTCGTTTGTTCGTTCGTTCTTTCTTTTATACGTAAATCCATCTATCTTTGTTATGTATGGTCATAAAACATCCACTCTTATTATATAATATAGCGTAACGTAGTAGTAGTAGTAGTAGTAGTAGTGGTAGTGGTAGTAGTAGTAGTAGTAGTAGTAGTAGTAGTAGTAGTAGTGGTAGCAATAGTAGTTGTTGTTGTAAATAGAAGTAGTAGCATTAGTAAAATTATAGTAGCAGCAGTAGTAATTGTAATACTAGAAGCTTTGTATTTAGCACGATTAACATTTCTGTATGTGTGCGTGTGTGTTCTAGTTTGTGTGCGTGTGTGCGTGTGTGTGTGTGTGTGTGTGTGTGTGTGTGTGTGTGTGTGTGTGTGTGTGTGTGTGTGTGTGTGTGTGTGTGTGTGTGTGTGTGTGACAGCGTTTGATTGATTGATGGCTGCTTAGCATGTATGGTAGACTCCGGTATAAATGAGATTTTGGGATGAACTCTAAGAATGATTTTGCCTTAGGGCTTATTTCTATATACCTTTCTGGCCAGGAATCAAATGTTAATTTGAGTTTGTATGTGTATTTGCCTGTGTGTGTGTGTGTATTTGCCTGTGTGTGTGTATTTGCCTGTGTGTGTCTGTATGTATGTTGGTCATTCGCTAGTCATTTTCTTTAGTACTTCACCAGGCCAGAATTGAAATGTCAAATTATATGTTAAGTGGTGAGTGTATATGTGTGCCTATGTACGAGACCTTGGAAAAAAACAATAGCCATAAAAAATGTTTATGTGTTTGTATGTGTAAATGTGTGGCACGTACGATTGTGTATGTGTGTGTGTGTGTTTGTGTGCGTGTGTGTTTGTTATTTTCACATTCGCCCATTCAGTCTGTGTAGAATGAACGCTTTTACAAGTATTAAAAAGTTGAAATGAGTCGGTCTAAGCCGTTTCTATACACGTCTAACTGTAAAATTAAATAACCATAGAAAATAATATTAAAAATAATAAATTTCACAATAATAAAATAATAATATTTTGACAAATTTTAGAACTAAAATTGATAAACTAGAAGTCAGCAATTTGAAGATCTATTAACTCATCGCGAGTTTGTTTTAATTTGCCAACATTTTTTTATTTCTTTGTGATATAGTTCTGTCAAATGCAGAGCTCTCCGTCTAAATGTTAAACATCACACCATTAACATGTCAACAACAACAACCACAACAACAACCACAACAACAACCACACTCAGGTCTGGTTTCAGAACAGAAGAGCAAAGTGGAAGAAGCGGAAGAAGATGACAAACGTTTTCAGAACTTCCGGGGCCCTCCTGCCCTCAACATGTCTATCCCCATTCGTTTCATCTCCCCCTGTCAACGAACCATTCTACCCTTTTCCAGAAACTTGTGGACCGTGGGCTACAATGTCCTCACCACTAAATCACCCGATAAATCACCGAATCATACCGACCGATCAACATTTCGCTTCCTTCAATAACCGACAATCATATCCGCCGAGTCAGTCTTTCTCGAACCCGTCAACGTGCGTGAATTCGAACGTGCCTCTGGTCGGTATTTCCATGCCAAACAGCGCAACTTACGAGTCGGTATCGGCAGATGGCGCTTCTATTGGGGGTAACATTTACTCAACTTCGTCGATATTTCTGAACTCGTCGTCGTCGCCGTACTCGTGTATGATTAACGGTAATTGCGAATCGCCCATCCCTAACCATAATTTGCCCCCGTCTTGTGGGGTCCAAGACATCGGGGAAATTTGGAGGGGGACTAGCATTGCCTCCCTACGTAAAAAGGCCCTTGAACATACTGTATCGTCTAATATACAGGGCTTTCGATAAAGATTTGAAATCATTTTTTAATTTATATATAAATAAATAAATTATTTTATATATTTATATATTTTTTATTAATTTATAACTTAATTAATTTAAATAAATTAATTTGTTTTTACATCGTGCAATCTTATCGTTTAGCTCGAGTTTTTTGTAATTTAATTGAATAATTAACTAACTAATTAATAAACTAAATAGGTTATTAGTTAGTTAATGAATTATTTATTTTATAATTAATTGTTGTTGACACTTTTGAACTGAAAGACACGAAATTAATTTTGGTTTTTTCGTGATATATACATACGTATTGTATATAACTTTTTTTCAAGTTTCCCATTCAACATTCCACATTATTTTTTATAACATTACGTTTCCAAATGTGTTTTACAAAATCTTTTAATAAATAACAAGAACGACAATAATTGCACTACTACTTAAAACTACTCTAGCACTAAAAACACAGCATAATTTCATACCGAGGCGTGTCTTCTTATCCCATTTTAAACATTTTCGGATCAACAGTTTTCTCGAACGAATAAGTATCAGGATCCGGAAGATGTTCGATGAAATATGGATAGCTCCCAGGCCGCCATTGCTATCCTGGATTTTTTTTATATTTTTTATTTCCTGGATAGAGTATAGTAACAGTATAGGCGCCATCCGTTGGCTATATTTTAAACAAAGAACCAGCAAATAGCAGATGATTGATTGATCGCTGGTGTAATGGTTAAGGTGCCTGACACTACTTCTGTAGTTACTAGATTCGATTGTGGAGACCCTCCGCTTATCAGATGCAATGAATGTGATCAAGTGATTCAAGACTATTTGCATAATTGGTCATCATACCTTTGATAAGTGCTCGAACGAGAATTCATTTAAAAAATAATACAAGTAACGATGCAATTGCTTGCAGGCCAACAACGTCAAGTTGACGAGTAGTATGGGTGTCTACTACAACGCTCATCTGTGGCCGCACGACATCAACATCTTCGAATCTCACTTCGACACGAAGGATCCTCGATTGCATCACAAAGTGTGACGCAAAAACACACAACGTGCATACACAAATAACACACATGTATCTTTTTTATTATAGTATAGTTTAAGACCAACAAATAAATACAATTAATTTATTTCGTTTTTTTTAAAATCAATTGAAATTAACTGAAAAAGATGATTAATCGTTAGATTAACACTAGTCAACAAGTTTAATGTTTGTTTGTCGTTCAATCTCGTTCCTCCTTCATTCAATGGATTACTCATCATTTCAAATGCTTGAAGAGAGATTGTGAAACCTGAAAATAACCATAAAAATAATGTAGGCATACAATAAAATACAAAACACCACAATACACGGTGTTAATAGCCGAGCAAATTCTAGGAGCAAAAATAAAATCGCTAGAGCAACTTTTGACCAAAAATTTTCCTAATTAGAGTTTGCGAAATAATTAACAATTTTCAAATAAAAGATACTTAGATTGAATGACGTTGTTTTGTTTTTGCATTTGTTTATTGCTTTTTTTTAGTTACTTTGCAACTTATGGGGTTTGATTTCTTTGCATCTTGTAATAAATCCGTAATTCTAACTTTAACATGTGGTTTCATTCAACTTTAACACGTGGTTTCATTCAACTTTATCACGTGATTTCATTCAAGTTCAGCACGTGGTCTTATAGTATGGTTGTTAACAGGTGATCAGCCAATTCGGGCAAATATAGACTTTGAATGCTGAAAACTGCATCCTTCGGTACAAATCATAAAAATTTCAATTCAGTCAGAATATAACAATCCTTAACGTAATGATATTTATGTCGTAAAATTACGAACATTCTAGACGACCGATTCAATTTTTAACGCGCCAACATTAAAGTAGAAGACTGAAGTCTCCAGAATGGAATAAGTGAGGATACTTCTACAACACTTCTTATATCATAGTTCAAAAGACGTAACGGTAGCGATTTTGTCGCCACTTTTTCATTTAAATTTAATACGTTTCCAAAACAGCAGTGGCAGCGATAGAGGCGCTACTTTCTGTGGCTAGTGTTAATCACTCAGATTGTAGTCCCCCACCCACCTACACGCACGCAGACGCACACAAACACTCATGCAACCCAATACATACACAATGATCAACACAGTGTATGAAGTCAAACAGTTCCTGCGTGCATGTCTCCGTTGTCTTCGTTCGACTCGTGACCCTTTCAGTGCATCGATCTAATTCATCCTTCAGGTGCAGGCAGTGGCTCGACTGGCTGCACTCCTCTTTTAGTGGGTTCATAGGGTCCTAATATTAGGAATTGGGGGGATTGAAGTAAATCTTAATTTATTTCATTTAATAAAAATCTTTTTAGCCAATTGATTTATAAACCAAAAATGTATGTTATAAATGTATTTTATGTAAAGTCCATGATTTATATATTTTATACCATATCTACATTTACATATTTGTTTCATTGCCTATCTTATAAAGAGTATTTGAAGACTAAGGCCAATCCCCTCTTGTACACTTGCATGCTTCAGAGGTTTGAATAAATATAGAGGACCAAATAATGATATTAAATAATAATTATTTCCTCTGTTAACTCCACTTACCACTAATTCTTTTTCTTCAGCCTGTGGTGGGGTAAAAATTTTGCTTTTTTTGTATAAAAAATAAATTTGTTCAATGGTTAAACTTTAATCAAACAATTAGTTATTAAGATGAGATAAGTAGTAAATGATAATAATATGATGAACAAATTATCTATCTAGCTATATTAGCAATAGAATAGATACAGATAATTAATTAATTAAAAAAATAAATAAAGCAATGATTAGTTAACTCATTAAAAACAATCTCAAAATTTATTTTATTATAATCTGTGATGCTCTCTAATATACTAATAATACTAATAGCTAATGATTAGCTGCTAATCTAACTAATCTTCTTTATCTTTAGTTAGCTTGCCTAGTTTGAAACCAATTTGACCAATGGTATTTTGAATTGCAAAAAGTTTGGTTTTAAGGTTAATAAATCATTTATATTATAATTGTTTGGTTAGTTACATAACTTAGCAGGCTTGGTGGATAGTGGAAAATTAGGTTTTATTAGGACTAGAAGACTAAGGGGAAATAAAACAAAGGTGGGCAAAATTAGTGAAAAGGCGATTTAGAAAATGCAAATAAATATGATTAATTAAAATCGAAATATCATAAAAATAGTCATTAATAGGTTAAAATTTTAAATTAAGACAAATACGGCAAAAAATCGCCAACAAACCATTTTCTAGCAGCGATATGAAGGACACAAATTCAATGGCGCTACGACAAAAAGTGGACTACTTTTTCGTTCTATGGAAAACTGTAATTTAATTTTTTAATGCAATTTAATGCAAATTTGTAAAAATAAAAATAGCTACAGTTGTGAAAACATCTAATAAAACGTTTTTATTGCAATATTAAATTATATTAAAGTTTAAATTAATATATTGGCACTAAAATATTATTGTATAATTGTAAAAAATTTGATTAAAATTTTACGATATTATATGAACAATTTTTTTAGTCAATGATTGTAAAATTCAAAGTCTATTTTACGGTATAAATATGCTTATAATATTTTGCAAATTTGTCTGTAAATGTTGTTTCAGAATGTTTTAGGGATGCACGTTTTTATAAAGTCTGTAATCTTTTAGATTCGAAGTTTTTGATCGGAAAAGTGGATCTAGAGAATTTTTGTTGTGAAGAATCGGAAAATATTTTGAAGAAAAATGTCGGATGAATCGTCGTCTATTTGGTTGTTTACTGCCGAAGAAATTAGTAATAGTCCAAGTCGTTTGGCGGGGATCAAATCGGAAGATGAGTTCAATTATCGGTACCTTGCAGCCCAGATGATTCAAGACATTGGAGAGAAGTTGAGCGTGTTAGTACTGTTAATTTTATCAAATTATTTATTTTCACTAATTTTAGTTGGGGTCTGATTAGTGAATTGCCATCAAATGTTTGATTTCGTTTGGGGTTGTGCCAATTTTTTTGATTTTTTAAGCGTTGGGTAGATTTTTTTAGTTCATTCTTAGTGACATGATATCGACTAATTGAGAACTTTTATTCACTAAAATTAGGAAAGGATGATTTCATTGATCAATTATTTTTTCGGCTATGTTTGGCTTCATTGCAGGTCATTTTGTTTTCCTAATGATTGCATTTTTTAATTTTTTACATTCTGGACCATCCCCACAAACAGGTTTCAGTTGTGCACGAACACGGCCATTGTTTACATGCATAGATTCTACATGAAGCAGTCTTTTCATAAATTCAAGTACAATGTAAGTTTTTCAACTTTTTGTTATATTAAATGGCGGGCAAAATTTTTCATCTGACAGAAACATTACTGTCAGCACCTCAGTCTGTCAACAAATAGTGCCCTGATCATTAATGTATTAATGATGAATTTTGTGAAAGTTTCAAATATTTGAAATATTGATAATGCTGACAATGTCTGGTGCTGCTGATTGAAGCATGATAAAATTTGATTGGTCAAAATATATTCATTGAAATATTAATATTTACACTGAAATATTCTAAACACTAGACGATGTCTGCTGCGTGTCTATTCTTAGCTGCAAAAGTTGAAGAGCAGCCAAGGAAAATAGAGCATGTTGCGAAAGTTGTCTATAACTTCACACACAAAGATCAGAAGGTCCCGGACGCCAGAAGTCAGGTTGGTCTAAGTTTTTACTTTCTTGGTCTGTGGTTCTGTTTGTCTGTCTGCCAAGGCGTTTGTCTATTTTTCTATATTTCTATGTAAGAATATGAAAATTATAATTTTAAATAATTTTTGTAATCACATTAAAAATGATATTATTAGCATGAGATACAAGATATCATGGAAGAGATATCGTGCGACGAACAGATACTTTTGCAAACTCTCGGTAAGTTGGTGGTGGTGGTGATGATAATAATGATGATGATGATGGTATAGTGATGTGTTAACGGTGATGATGATGATACTATACTGATGATTTTTATTAATATTAATAATTAATCATAATACTACTATAATTTTATAATTTCCAGGCTTCACGACGATTGTCGAACATCCACACACACAGATCGTAACTACGTGCAGTCTTATTAGAGGTTTGTTTTCATGTGTTTTTGTGTGTGTGTGTCTCTATGTTTGTGTATATATGTGTCAAAAGAAAACTTTCTTTCACAATTTAAATTAATGAATTTAGTTTATAAAAAAATCTATATTTTTTTTGCAGCTTCCAAAGAAATTTCACATTCCTCGTACGTGTTTGCAACGACGAGTTTGTTGTTGACGACGATGTGCCTACAATACAAGTCCCCGGTCATTTCGTGCGTCTGCATCAATGTTGCTTGCAAATGGAGTGGCTACGAGGTCAGTTTTTGGCCTGTCCTATTTTGTATCTTTGCTTGTTTGTGTGTGTGTTTGTGTGTGTGTGTGTGTGTATGTATTTATATATTTGTGGGTAAGTTTGTATGTGTGTATTTGTTTATATATGTAGGTTTGTGTTGTGTTGTGTGTGTATGTATGCTGGTTTTGGCTTATAGATGTTTGTATTTATGTGTAATTAATTAGAACTCTTCTCATTAATTATATTAATATATTATATTATAAAATTATTTATTAATTATATTGTTATATTATAAAATTATTTATTAATTATATTAATATATTACATTATATAATTATTTATTAATTATAGGTGCCGAAATCGGCAGAGGGGAGGTATTGGTTTACGTATGTTGATCCATCTATGACCATAGAAAGATTGGAAGGTTAATATTATATTAATTATAATTTATTATAATCAAATATATCATTAAATAAAGAGGATGAATGACACTGACAAATTTTTTTTATTCATTCATTAGTTCATTCACTCATTCTACTAATTTTGGCTGAATAATTACTTTTATTATTATAATTATAGCTGATATGAGTAATTGTTGAAGCTTCTTTTTCATTCATTAATTCATTCAATCAATCATACTTTCTTTTATTTATTCATTCTTTCATTCTTTTTTTCATTCATACGTTCCACTAATTTGCAGAACTCTCGAAGGAGCTGAGTACTGCCATGGAGAGGAATCCCTCTAAATTGTTCAAAATGAGGAAATCGCTCAGTCATCTGAAGGTTTGTTATACTGTTCTATGTTATACTGTTCTATGTTATACTGTTCTATGTTATACTGTTCTATGTTATACTGTTTTTGGTATATTGTAATATATTGATAATATGTCATTAATATTGTAGATTATAATACTTATAACTTTACTAACTAACTTCACTTATAACTACTATCCCGTTAAATATTTCCCGGATCCAGATCGATCAATTTTTTGTATTAATGATACAGACTCACATTGATAATGAGAAGCCGAAGCCCATCATTGGTCAGCCGTGGTCAGGTGCCCACCTTTCCATCCAATCACATTCAAGGAAACCTGAAAGCTCATCTGCATCCACTACCACTATTAATACCAGCAGCGAAGTTCTCACTTCAAATGCTCTTTACAGTAATAAATATCACAGTCTCGGTGCTAATAACTGTAATGATTACGTCACCTATGCGAATCCTGTTACCTCAACGGCTTCCCATACGACGACGACCACCACTACAGTTACCGCAACTACTACATCTGTTACTACTGCAACTACTGCTTCTTACCAAAAAGCCAATCCCCATGCCCCCAAGAACAACAATTACGTAAGTAACACCACCACTACTACTACTTCTGCCGCTGTTGGCAGTCATTCCATTCCTATCCCAGCCCGTTCTTCTTCTAGAACGTCGACGACTACTACACACGCCGCATCTGCAACCACCACAGCCTCTGCTCCTCACAACAACGTCAACAAATACGTCGGAAGTTTCAGCAGCAGCAGTAGCAGCAGCAACTACAGCAATGTGAGACAGTCGCATGTAAAAACTAGCACCTCTATTACCACCACTACTAGCAGCAGCAGCAACAACAACAGTGGTAGTAGTAGCAGTAGTGTAAGTGGTGCCTACCACAGAAAGAACTTAAGTGACGTGCCAGCCATGGTTGCATCCGACAACAACGCCAAGAATGAAGAGGCGAACATCTTGGCTGGTAAAAAAAACGAACCTAATGCTAAGCCTATTCGACAGCACGTCACTGATAAAGTTAAAGAGACCCCGGTTATGAATAACTCCTTGACTGTTAGTAACAAAGAATCTAAAATCATGCCTAATGCTTCAATTAGCGTTAAGGAACCTCAGATCAGGAATGCAGTTGCTAATGCTCCTGCAGTTAACATCAAAGAACCTCAAGTTAGGAATGCTGTGGCTACTACTGCTGCTTCAGTCAGTACTGCTGCTGCCAGATCACCTATCAAGTTGAAGATCAGCGGTTCTTCATTATCATTCTCCAACTCTCTGAAACCTCCTGCTGCCAGCAGTCACAACGATCTGAACAGCAGTCTGCAGAGACATCCCTCGGTGGCCACGATAGCGTCGACGTTACCGCCGCCGCCACCACCACCACAGGCGTCCTCGTCGACATTTACTGCCAACCAGTCCAGTCAAGAGAAGGAGCCCATAAAAATAAAGCTGAACCTGAAGGCAGTGAACCAAGTGGAGGAGAGGCGGCCACCAGAGGAGTCGAACGGCATGAAAGTGGTCCTTAGCAAGAGCAAGGACGGAAGCTACATTCAGCAGTCTCAACTGCAGAATGCTGGCCAGAGTGCTAGACCATCAGCGAATTCCTACATTAATGATCCTCTGCCTCCGGTTCTATCGCTTCCTCCTCCTCCTGTTCAGCAGCAGCACCACGGTCATCATCACAAGAAGAGGAAAGCAGAGCATAGCTCGTCGTCGTCCTCACACTCATCTCATCACAGAAAGCACTTGAAACTAGATAAAACGTCGCAGGAACAAGATTCCAACCAGCAACCAATGCCTCAGCCGCATCATCAGCAGCAACAACAACGTCATCAACCACAGCAGCCACAACCGCGTGTAAATATACAAAACAACTTCAATGCTTACATGTCTTCTCTTCCGTTCCGCAAATGATAGCATTGAACTTTGTAAATATGTAATTTTACGTTTGTTAACATTCATCTTCATCCATCTTAACTAAATCTGGCAGAACTCTGTTGGGCGTCTTGAAACATGAAGAGCCAACATTTTTTGTCTTTTATGTTGACTGTTATATATGTATGTATATATATGTTGGTAATAGACCATAATTTTTACAATATTCTATAAATTTTGCCGAATGTTTGGCGTATTTTTATAATATTCAAAAATAAGATTTTAAATATTCAATATTTCCCTATATATACAGCAAGGAGCACTGATGATGATTCATTCGGAATCGAAATATGGCCTTATTTGCAGCATGAATTCGAAAAATAAGTTTATTTTGAATTTTAATAAACTAAACGTTCACCAAAAAACTTTAGTGAGAAAAACCGAAAAACCGAACTACAAACATATTAACGCCAAACATTCGGTAGAATTTATAGAATATTGTAAAAAGTATGTATGTATATATATATATATTATATTTATATAATATATTTATATATATATATGTATATATATATATATATTTATGTAGGTATATATATCTGTATATATATTTATGTAGGTATATATATATATATATATCATATAAAGTAATTTGTATGTTCAATTGTTTGTGCATACATGTATTCGTACGTACTTATTTGTATTAATTTCTAAATGTCTAAGTATGTTCACCTATCTGTACATTTGTATATACGCCTGTCTGTATGAGTATGTATGTATGTATGCATAGATGTACAACAGATTTTTACGATTTTTTAACAATTCGATTAAAAAGAAGTTCCTTCAATTGATTTTTAATTGTTCGATTTTGGTTTGAAAATCTTTGTACATTTAGTTGCAATATAGTTTATCTTTGCACATTATGCTATTGATCTTTGTTCGAGGTTTTCTAGATAAACTCTTATGTAAATGGAGTCTTTGGTTTTATGAGTTAATGTTTCTACGCTCCCTAACGTTTTGTAAACAACTAAATTGATCCGCGTGTTCAACGTTCACTAATCGTGTTATCTCGTATTATCTACATGGACGAGGTTACAGAAGTTCCCAGAGGAAGGCCCAAGTCCGGAAGGTTATGGAAGGAACCCAGGCCTACTAAGTAAAATTTTTGCCTAATAAAAATCTTTCAGTAAAAAATGTGCACCATACTTTTTCAATTTAATTTAAATTTTAATTTAAGTTCAGTTTGAGTCATTTTTTAGCCCGGCTTCAGTGGTTAGTAGGGCTTAGATTTAGAAAGGGGCTAAGCTTAGCTTAGGAAGGCTCTTAGCAACTAAGTTTTGTTTTAGTAGCGTGCATCTCTTCTCGAAGAGTGCGCTAGTGATAAGCCTCTCCCACTCATATTGAATATTTAAAATCTTATTTTTGAATATTATAAAAATAAATATCATTTTAATAACTTGAGACTTAACAAATCCCAGCTAAAACACATGGTGCGATGACAGTATGATAGGGCAATAGATTAGATTAGAATTACTATTAGATTCATTAAAGATATAGATAGATCGTTAGATAGGTGTATAAAATATAAATGATGCTACTTATTTAAACTTTTTTAGTAACACATGGTCATGATATGACACCAACAGGAAAAAATGTTATTTTTTAAAAAATGATTATGCGTAAATGTAGTAATCCTGGCAGCCTGTGCTGTTTGGCATCACCCTAAGCAAAATGCTTGCTACATTAAAAACACATTTAATAGTGTTGTGTCATTTCTATCAAGCCTGTCTAAAATCTGCAAACCGAAAAACCTCCGAAGCACGTGGAAGAAGAAGGTCGAAGAAAAATGCATCAAAAAATCTATAAAAGAGTTGGAGAAGGAATTGAAAAGTCACAAACAGGACAAGCTGGAGGTTGAAACTGAAATCTATTTAAAAAAAATAACTTTAATTTTCTTCCTATTTCATTCTAAAATGCCTCTAATAATTTATGTATATACACTTTTTTTTTAAATGGTTTATTCACTATATATTTCATTACATTCAGATTATTAATCTACCATTTTAAAACACCTGAAAAGGATTTAAGAAGGAGGCAGAAAATAAATAAAGAGAAAAAGTTACTGAATGAAAGGCGGGGAGAGGTGACTCAAAAAGTAAGTAAGACTCCGTTAAATAAATTATCCACCCACCACTCATAAATGAAAAGTTTATTAATTAAAACAAAAATTTAAATCTTTTTTTTTAAAACAATTAATCTAAAAACGAGTATAGATAATAATAAATTAAAAAACATATAAAAACAAATAGTTAAATACAAAAACAGACATAATTATTGTATGCATGAGTGTTTGTGTGTGTACATGTACCTGTGTATGTGCTTGTATGCGCGCTTGTATACGCCCCAGTGTAAAACCATCAAAAGATTTTTTCAATGAAATTTTGGTAAATCAAATCTTGCTTAATCAAACCAAAGATTATTATTATTAATATCCAAAATAGTAAATATAAATCAATTTATCTTTAAAAACGGCGCCAAAAACAAAATAGTTACTAGCGGTACACATATACATACTCATGTATGTACGTATGTATATATGTACGTATGTATATATGTATGCATACATATATAAAAACAAATAAATGCAGTTATACAGAAATACACATACGACAGACATTTACACAAATAAATAGGCATACATAAACATACAAATGAATACACGCAAATAAACATTTAGATACGCACGCATACAATCGTACGAATAGGCATGCATACGTACGCAAACACAGAAATGAAATAGATACACACACGTAAATTAATACACCATCTACTAATTGGAAAGTAAAATTTAATTTTGCCAGGTTACAAACACGAAAAAGTTGAAAAGGTTGAAGAAGAAGCAGTTGAAGGGTATCGTGAAGAGATAGACAGGACCCATGATTGAACATTCTGTGTATTTGTCTCAATCTCTCTCTTTTTCTCCCTCTCCTCTTCCTCTTTATCAAAACCCGTTTCTACAAACACACGCATACATACATTAATATATAGCTTCAATATTACACACATTGTTGTAAGCGTTCATGTGTGCACATAGGAATCCACATTGAATTACAATGAATTGAATAAAACGAATCATCTTTAAAATCGTTTATTTATGGATTTTTTTTTACAAACTAACAAATTAATTAAGATTGTATTCACTTGCTAGAGTTGTTAATAAATAAAACACGTGCGATAATACTAGATTAATTTTCTGTATACATATACATTTAATACATACATACATTTATATACAAATTTATGTGTACATTCGTGGATATATATATATGTGTGTGTGTGTGCGCGCGCATTTACATACACAATCGTTATGCAATGATATAAAATATATAATATGGAAAATGGATCTATTTATTATTTATGATCTTCTTCCTTTCGGGGATGAAATACCGCCATTGTTATAAGTCAAAACTCCGTCTGAAGACGTGGTTGTCCTGACAGAATTATCGTATAAAAAATCGAACAAATTGTCCGTGCGATGTTGCCCCAGTGCCCCCCGATTAGGCGAAAAATTAGCGAGTGGGTTCGCCATGAGGGAGAAAAGTTCGAGGACAGCCGGATCCGTGTGCAGTAGACTGTCGAAACCTAGGGCGGGGAATATTGAGGATGACGTTGAAGGGTAGGCGGGTAAGTTGAAGGGACTAGTACTTGTGGACGATGAAGAAGATGAAAAGTTTGATGTGTGTTTGAATGGATTGAAGTTAATGCTGCCACCGCCCCCACTGCTGTTTTGGGAGTTGCTGCTGCCATGGTGGTTGTTGTTGCTATGGTGGCGGTGGGCTAATGGAGGTACTAATACGGGGCTTGGTGAAGCGGGTGTAAGAGGAGGCGAGTTATTTCTAAGGGGAATGTTGACTGGTGAGAGGTCGTAGATCGTCGGGCTGTCGTCATTGGAGTAACTGGTCGATGAGGGATTGTCCGAGGCCTCTACTCTGAAATTTCGCTGCCGGTGTGGTTTGCTATTGGATTTACAGTTGTTGTTGTTGTTGTCATGTGAGATTGAGGTTGAGGACGACGAGGTTGTCGTCGTCGTAACTAGGTCGCAACTTGTTGATTCATCATCAGTTTCTGTCAGGTCTATAATGTCTTCATCGGCACCTGCCGTTGTTTAAAAAAGTTAAATTGCAACAAACTATAAACACTTTTTTTACATAACCATCTAAAGATTACATTCAGATTAGCTAGATATTCGCAAATACCAGATAGTGTGTTACATAGACTCTTCTTCCACATATCTGAAAAAAAGACATTCAAATTAGCTAGATGTTGAAACATACCAGCAGCAGAATTTGGATGGTTGTGCTGGGGTTCTGTAGATGGAACAGGGGTGCTGATGTTTGTTGAATCATTAACCATCTCTAGGCTCGTATTCAACAAGTTTGAATCGTCTAGGTTGATGTTATTTTTACTACTGCTATTGTTGTTGTTATTATTATTACTGTTGTTGTATTCGCTTGATACCAAAGTCCAGCTGCCGTCCTTCATGAGTTCCACTTCAACTGAGTCTGACATCTCTTTCAAGACCTCCACGAATAAACTTGAGAAATAAATAAATAAATAAAATAATAATTAATTAATTAATTAATTGAATGAATTTATAGTTTAGCTGAAAGTAAATTAATGAGGTTGATGCCGAGATAATGTCAGGCGATTTCAAAATGTGATAACTTGACATCTTTTACAAATACACAAACGAAATCTATGCCCATCTCCCAGTGTGAGATAAGTTCATTGAAGACAGCTGCATAACTATGAGCAGTCTCTGGAGGGGACAAACAGTGAGAAGGCGTTGGTTTGAAAAATGGCAATTTGTTAGAAAAAGCCTGATGGTTGATTTCATTTTCTATAGTTTCAAGTCCGTAGTACGCTATAAAAGGTGCAGGTTATCAACCAATTCAAACAAATATAACAGGCTTTCGTTGGTGGAAACTACCTCTTTAGTATCAGACAAAAGATTTTTAATTAGAAATTTTAAAATTATTAATAAAGTAATATTTTTTTTAGATCATTTTAAAAGCATCAACACTATGGTAGATAACTTTACTAAAGATACAAGTTTGTGACAAACATTTCTACAAATAAAGAAGCAGTAGCGATTTTGGCTTTCACTTTTTCCAGTAGGTAGCGATTTTGAAGCTAATACTCTCTTACTTACTCCTACTTGCAGTATTAGTAGTAACGGTAGCTACGCTTCTTTCCACCGAGTAGCGTTAACAACCTTGCCCGATAGGTACAAACATTCCCAATGCATACAAACCAGTAAACCAAAACACATGTACCCACCCGTCAATGATTAGCTTATTGAACTCGGCGGACCGATCACAAACAGGGCAGACCCACGTCGGCTTCTTCTCGTTCATCTGTAGGTAGGTGAGGGCGTCGAAACATTGAAGGTGGCTGCAAGAGGTCGCTCGACAGGGCAAGGTCATCCTCATCTTCCCGAGCTATTTTTCCAAAGTAAAATGACAAAATAATTCTAAAATGAATAATAATAATTATTATAATTAATAATAATTGTTTTTTTATTATTCGCAGGCACAAAAAAGTAAACATGTACTTGTGTCAGCGTCTTAACTAAAATAGAATACAGAAACAAAAAATAACTATGAAACCCATATACTGACAATATATACCGATAGGGAGAAAGAAAAACTGGAAAATATCAGCATCCATCAAAGTTTACCAAATGAGAAATTAAAGAGAATCTACATGTTAGCATATTCTCGCAATTATATGTATTCACGCGTAAATACATATTTATATATGGAAATTTAAGCTTTATACATACATACTAACGATGATAATAATTATTATTATGACACATCAACGCATAATAATGATATTGTAATATTTAAATTACGAAAATTAATGTTGACTGACTGCAGCTATAACTACTAAGATGATGATCATACTCTTTTTTGTGAAAAATAATTGAGGAAAAATAAATGAATGACGAAAAATAGACAATAAAATAAACAATATTATAATAATATTTATAATAATAATAGTAGTTATAAATCAGAATATTTTCTTTTACAGGGCAAAGAAGGGATACTCTAAGACTTGTCATTGCAATCTCAGCATCCTGGTCCATTGATAGCTTCTCTTTAACTTTTGAGAAATAAATAAATAATTTTTAATTATTACTATTATAATTGTTTAATAATATAATTCAACAGAAATCTATAATTATTAATATTAATTAAGGAAAATTTAAAATATTAATCATAGACAAATGTGCACATACAGATGACAACATCTCACAAACACACATACACATTCATAAACATTAATAAGTAAAAAAAGTCTGACAAAGTGCTGAAGACCAGTACAAATGAATAATAGAAATAACAATAAATTATTATTATAATTATTAATATAATTATTATTAAATATAATGATTACTCAGTGCTTTAGTGGTTTCAGATTTGCAGACTCCGTTCCTCTTCAAACGCTGCAGTAGTGTACTGGAGTTTAACTTTCGTACGAGGTTTATACAGGCGCAATGACTCTAGTATTAGACAAAAAATACTTTAGGATAATAATTAAACTATATTATATTATATAAAACTTATTTTAGGATAATAATAATTATAATATATAATAATAATATTTTTATTTCTTCAAATTACTATTGATAATTTCTAAACCGAATAATACAAGTTTGGTTTATGTTAAAAGTCTTAAGAAACGTCATTTCCTTCAGAGCCTAACTTTATTCTCCTCAATGCTCCATATTATAGTGACGACGTTATTGATGGACGTGGACAATCGACAAAGCCTCGTTATATCAACCGGCCGATTTGGTCGCTTCGCCTCGACGCCCGGTTTGTTTGTGGGAATAAGGTTCTGCAGTTTAAGATTAGGGAAGAGTATTGTATACCAGCTATGATGACTGTATAACATTCTATCTGATGTATATATATATACTGCATTTAACACACATAAAAACACACACCACACATAACACACGCGCGTATATATGCTGTAAGCCGCATATACAATGCCCAATAATGCACAAAGAATTAGTATATATCAAAAATCTAAGTTACATAAAAATTAATGTTAGCTAACAGGTAGTGGGGCAAAGACCCCATTAACTTTGACGGCCACCCCATTAGGGAAGCAGTCGGGCTGCCTGGATGACGGGTCGTTTAGGCAGAAACGTAACTGAAGTTGGCAGGAGAACTCGAATTGGTTATTACCTAAAGATTGCCTGTTTAACATAATTTATTCTAATTACTCACCATTGTAAATTTAAAGGTAATAATGAAAATATTCAATCAATTAATATATAACTCGCTTCCATTACTTTAGAAATTTGAATAAAAAATGAAAAATAATTACATACCTATATACACATATATGCCCATACACGCACGCTCGTGCAAGCACACAGACACCCACCACCCCCACAGACATAGATTGACATTATTTATAGACAATATTCTTCTTTAAATTAAACATAATTATCTTTAAATTTGACAAAAAAAAATTATTAAAAAATCCATCCACCTTGAATTTGATATTTCTCTGATGTGATTCTCGTTGAGGCTGAAGCTCACTCTATTCTCCTGCTGCTTATTTTGGAGAAGCTTTGGGACTGTTGTTTGAGGGAAACATTTGTATCACTAAACTACATCATTAAAAAACCATTTTATCGATAAATCACATAATTTTGTCATGAATCATTGTGACTTTTAATATGAATCATAATTTAAGTATAAATTTATAAATAGCTAGTCAATTAGAAGACAAAAAAGACCAATGCATTACTTAAGCTGACTGGCTTCATGACATCACACAGGATGTCGTAGAATGGTAGGTGTTTTAGTCGTACCTCGACAAATGGTGGTAAGTTTTCTTGCGGTGCTACACAATCTCGATCGTTTAAAATTGGACATATATCTGATTCTATTTGGATAAAAAAATCATAAATATTATTAGATTAAAAAAAAATAAATAAAAATTTAATACAATTTTGAAGACTTTTTTAAATGATATACAAAAATGAAATTAGATGAATGCTTCATACATACCAGCTTGATTTCGGTTCATGAGATAAGATGCGTATCCAACAGATATCCTCTGTGAATATTTTTGATGTAATTCTTTTATCTTTGCTTGGACTTGTAGTGAGACACCACCCTCCACCAGCATCAGAGCTCTTTGCATTAGTTCAGTTTTGCGACCACATCGACTTTGGTTGGCTATACCCAATAAAAGCTGGAGTTCCGAAACTCGGAAAGACATCACCATGTTCTATGGGTGTGTTTGTTTGTGGCTTTGTGGGCATATGTAAGAGGTGGTTTTGGTGTTTTCTATGTTTCAGATGCTATGTTTTTTGGTTACATTAATTAATTATTTTTCTTATTATTAATGATTAATAATACAACAACAACAACACACGTTTAGACGACATTTTCCCCGAGATCGGGGTTGCCGTTTGGCTACCTATGATGAAACCGAAATACCCCTCGATGAGGGCCATTGTCACTTCTGTCATCATAAGTAATTTATTTGGCTAATTTTTATGCAGGATGCCCTTCCTTACACAACCACAGTTATAAGCAGTGGGCCTAGCCTTTGATGATCCAACATCACTCACAAGGCAGTGAGGGTCAGTTTAATGATTAATAATAATAAAGACAAATTATTTTTTTATTTATTATTAAGATGGTTTTTTTTCTGTTTTATATTATAATAAAAAAATTAAAATTTAGTTTCAGTAGAAAGTTAAAGTGCAGTAATTGAGGAGTGTGTTTGACTTTTTTTTACTTTTCTTGCAAAATTAGGCAACATAGAAATTAACTAAAAGTCTTTTGTAGAAAATGGAAGTGTGTTTGAAATATTTAGTTTTCATTTTAAAAATCACCGGAGTTTTAGTTTAGTTTAGCTTTAGAGATTTTAGTTTAGTAGACTCTTTTAGTTTTTTTTAGAGTTTTTATTTTTAGTTGCAACAAAAAGCAAAACCATGATGTGAAAAAAAGTGAAAAATTGCGACAAACTCACTCGAAGATCCGTTTTTTCAGTCATTTTTTTCATATTATTCCATAACTCCTAAGTAAAATCAGAAATAAGTTAAAAAGTAATAAATAAATAAAATACTTGACGACATAACAGAGAAAAACTCGATCATCGCCTCTTGCCAAACCAACATACACATATACAAGACATATAAAGAAAATTGGAGGCACATACTACATAGATATAATAGCGATATGCGCGTGTGTGCGTGCTTGCGTTGTAGTCGTTGTTGTATCGTTGTTCATCTACTTGTTCGTATGTGTTTGTGCACAATCTTGTCGTTGCGGCTAGCGTTTTAATGATGCAGCTTGCTTCAAGCAGCTTTGTAACAGCTGCCGAATTATGTTAATTGTTCTGCCTATGAATATTCATCTGAAAATATCAAGTTTTGTTGCGGATTTCAGCTCAAAGTCTAGTTTTTCGGATTTTTTGGTCAATTTTTCTGTTTTTCACAAAACAAAATTGGAAGAAGTCGTCAAAGCTCTCATCGATGTTTTTAATCAGAGGTAAATACAGAAGAGATATATCACCACGAGCAACAACTTATGCGTGTTATATAACAATTTTTTTCTAAGTTTTTTTCTTACAAAAATTACTCAGTTTAAAATAGGCGAGGCAATAAAAGCAGAATATCAAAAAATGATATAAAGGCATATATATATATATAAGAATGATATAAAAAAAGGATAGAACGCTTACCTACCAAACGTTCAGTTTGAGAGACAGAAACTGGAACAGCCCAATAATTTACCTCACTTTAACGAGATTCAAGAAAAATCAAGCCATACACACATAACTGAGCAATGTGTAACAACACATAAACAGCAAGATGAAACACGACTGTTTGTACAATTTGGGCATACACATTTTTTATAAATACATGTTCGTACACAATAGTATACACGTGTGCGTGCGTGTGTGTGTGCTACGTATGTGAAGCAGATGTGTACGTGCGTGTGTCGGTGTGCACATGCATATATTTGACTATGAAATTATTATAATTCAGTTGCTGTAAGCAGCTGATGAAAACTGCTGTAAATAAATAAAAGTATCATGTATATACATATATATGTACACACACACACACACACACACACACACACACATAATTACACCCACATATGTGTTTGTGCAGACGCGCATGAGTGTGTGTCGTGTGTGATCGTGCGTGTTCAAATTTAACGTAACGGTACTACGCGTAACGATAGGTTTTGCGTCAAACTGGTCACTAAACTTCGATAAACTATCGAGTTACCTATGAAATTTTCGATGACAAAATTATGATTTTCGACAAAGACATCATTATTTTCAATATTATCGAAATAAAATGGCAATAAATAGAAAAGAAAACAAAGGAAAAAGATGTACACGTCGGCAAAGCGTACAAATTTAAAAATTTGAAAAATCTCATTATCATATATGTAAATAGAGCAGCTGCCTAATTATCATAATAAATAACGAGCAAAGATACGCCTGCTGCTAATACATAAACGTACGTACACAAAAACGCACGTATGCTTATAATTATACAAGTGTGCATACCATACATCCATACATCCGCATCTGTGTATGTTCATTCACATGCAGCTATAAATATACATTCTATGTATATTCATACATTTATACGTTCATAAATCTAAAATTATATATATATATATATATATTTATATATACGAAAATATAGTAGAATAAAATAATAAATAAATATTTGCTGCTAAACACACACACACACATGTATGCATGAATGTATAATGAAAATAATACAATTTTAACTATATATCATGCAGCATATAAATACAATGTATTTACATCTCTAGATATAGATACACGCGTATGAAACGAACAGCAATAAAAAACACACACACACAGACGCCACACACACACACAGACGCCACACACACACACACAGACGCCACACACACACACATTAACATATATATATATATATATATGTGTGTACATATATATGTGTGTTTCCGTGTGTTTTGTATGATGAAACGTACAGCAGTAACAATAGTAGTAGTAACCATCCCATTGCTGTAATGATACAAGTGGAAGTAATTGTAGTAAGAGTATTGGTAGTAATAGTAGAGATGCACCCAAGAGCCGAATAGTTGATCTAATCCAAAGGCCATATAACTGAAAACCCACAATTGTGAAAAAATTGGATTTTTAGAACGAAAAGCAAGCTATTGAAAAAAAGCGATTCATGTCTACTGAACCATTTTTTATTGAGATAATATACAATCTCCTGTTCAAATTCAAACGTTTTAACAACTAAATACGATGGCAAAAATAAATTTTCCGCTAGTAATTATAATTAACAGTTATTAATGTTCTGGAATCCAAAAAGTTTGATGGCTCAAACGGAAGTTGAGCTACTAGGCCTTTAAAAATGCCCAGACCGAAAACTCGGTACGTCTCTAATTTCTTAAAGAAATGGTAAAAGATGTTTGATTAACATGTTTGAATAACTTTGTTTGCTTTTGTAGCAGTAGAAGCAGCGACGGCAGTAGCAGTAAAAGAAGTAAAAGTAGCAGAAAAATAAGTTAAAGTAGTATTAAGTTTTTTTCATTTTCTTACAAAATTAAAACTTGAACAAATGCGAAATTTTGTACTACGAACAAGCCATGAGTGCAGCAAAAAATAAAAGAATTAAAACATAAAAATACCAGACAACTTAACCATTACACCATCGCATCGTCATAAACATACATACAAACACACACACACACACACACACACACACACTCAGTCAAAAACGGACAAATATTAGGATATATCCAAACTAGAGGTGAACATGGGATCGGGAACCGCGAGAATTCCGTGTTTCCCATGAGATTCCCATGGGAGATTCCCATGAGATTCCCATTTCCAATTTTCGGAAATGGGAATTTTATGGAATAGGAAATCGCCGCTCGGGGATAGAAAATGATGGGCGGGAATGAGAAAAATGACATCAACATGTAAAAATAAAAGCTTATCAATACATTTAAATATGTACACTCATGCACATGAGATAGACTCGTACATAACATAGGCCCCCAGGTGTGCGTTAACAAAGAAGATAACCCCCATGGAATCAAGTGAAAATTTTTTCTGAATATACATGTATGTATGATGTACGTATATGCATATTTGTACACTCTATATAACTCTATATAACCCCATACAACTCTATACAACCTAATATAACCCTATATAACTCTATATGGCCCTATATAAGTCTATATAACTTTATATAATCCTATGTAACTCTATATAACATTATATAACTATATATAAATATGAATAACTCTATATAAAAATGGGAAGGAAACTCATGAATAATTTAATTGTACCTACTTGACGATGCCAAATTATAGAACCTATATTATATACATTGACAAAATGCGAACATTCAATATGAAATATCTTCCAACATTAAGAAAAATTATACAGAAAATAATTAATAATTATGAAATTATAATTACTGATATCGTTATTACACTGTAGTTTATTATTTGATCATAATTTCGCGGTGATTTTGACGTAATTTTCTAAAAGATTTAGGCTGTCACCAATGGAATCGTTAGTATGATGGTATTTATTATTACATAATTATCACATACTTGTCATCAACATTACTAAATAAATAACGAAAAAATAACATTTTCTACATTAAATATTATCCTATCATCCCTCCAACCATCGTAGCATTTATATAGCGCAGATTCAAACATCAAAAAAATAAATTCACACCAAATGGAATTGAAAATTAGAAGCCATTTAAGAAATGGTTGATGACAACAGTATTAACAATAACAACGTCAACAACAAATTAAACAATATTAACCATTAACCCAACAAATAAATAATAATAATAATAACAATATTATCGATTAACCCAACAGCAGCAGCGTCGTAGAAGAGACGAAATCAACAAACAAGCGCCAGTTCGGCGTGAACAAGGGCGTCGTATCGAGGGCAGTGGTGAAATTCCTCGAGCCCCCAAAACCGCACCCCTGCACCGCCTGTTTCGCCTTCCCGAGTACCTTCCTAACCCACAAATACGTTCTTGAGATGATCAGGCTGACACTTAGCTCACACGTCGAATCCTTCTACGTCAAATCGATTCAATTCGTCGATCGGAATACGATACACGGGGCACAGGGAATGGATAATCGCTGGCTGGTCACTTTCGATAGAAAAGAGGCCAAAGAGAAATTGGTAGCGGTAGGCTTGACTCTATTCAACAGAAAGTTGACCGTTTTTGACTACGACGAAATCTTGAAAGAGGAGTACAAGGAGTTCATCGAGTATAAGAAGTTGAAAGATAAATTATTTGCCAAGTCCGAATTCCCGAATTCCGAAATTAACGATACTTCTGCTGCTGCTGCTACTACAGCTGCTGCTTCTACTACTACCGCTACTAATTCGACAAAAGTAATCGATGAAAGTAATAAATAAACATATTAACAAGTAAAAATTGAATAAATAAAATTTGAAATTCAATTTGTTGCTAAAATTGTTGAACGAAATTAAACGGGTTATATAGGACTGAAAATTTACTTCTACGCTGATAAAATTATTAACATTCAATTAACCAATTACTTACTAATTAACCAATCAATTAAATAAATGATTGATTGAATGATCAATTGAATAAATATTTAATTATATCTTTTCATTATCTAATCGTAACTTTTATCGATCATACGAATCAAAGAAAAAAAATCAACCAACACCAGTTGTTTCAATAATATATACATATATATATATATATATATAATTTAAATAAAATAATAATATAAATTAAAATATATAAGTAATTAATAATAATAACAAACAAGCAAATATAGTAGAATAATAATAATAAATACTAAGCATATTGACAAACATCTATAATAATTGATAATCTAAATAATTGAAAATTCAAAATGTTCATAATACCAATAACAACAACAACAATAATAATAATAATAAATATCATCATAATTTTTTATTATTACGACCAATCATCCCTAAGGCTTATTGCGATTCTTCTGATGATTTATGTAGCGCCCAATTAAATTGCAAAACTCGCGACAGGATATCAGGCCAAAGTCAAATAAATTAACCAGATGTAGAGTCAGGTTGTTAGAAAGATTGTTAGCGATGAAGTAATCGGCGTTGAGGTCGATGAAGTCGCCGCAAGCCGTCGCTATCTGGCAGTCGCCTGTGAAGCTGGTGGTGACGTGGAAGATATTGATGATGGTGTGGCTGATGTGGAAGATGATGATAATGTAACGTAGAAGATGATGACGTAGAAGATGATACACAAAAAAAAACAACCACACCAACTTGTTGTGCATGACATGGAGGTTCCACAGCTTCATGACCTCCTTCTCACCCTCATTCACGTCCATGAATTCATCTATCATCTTAAATAATAATAATAAATAATATTAATATCGGTGGTAAAAACAAATCATCAACAACATTATCACCACCAACAACAACAGCAACAAATCATCATCACCACCAACAACAACAAATCATCAACAACAACGTCACCTGTTTAGTCTTCTGGCACAGCCACAAGGGGTCATTCTCCCCCTCGCTATCGATCTCAATATACTTCGGGTCGATAGGCTGGCACGTTGATGTGTGGTAGTACACCCTACAAAGATGATAGGCAATAAAATTATAATAATTATAATTATGATAATTATTATTATTGTTATAATTATAAATATTATTGACCTCGTGTGTCCATGAATGAACTGCTTCGTGTTGTTGTAGTCGTTTGCTATGTTCTGACTGGCCGATTTTTTGGACCTGTCAATCAAAAATTAAAAAAAAAAATAGCAGCGTCATCACGTCACACTCGTAGTCTTAGATCTCTGCCCTAACGTCTTCATACATTTCATCCAAACTTCTTCTTTTAAAAAACAAAAACGCAATTTCATTCCAAACGAAATTTGAGCATTTGAGCGCGTGTTCGGCAATCATACTGCTTCCAACAAATATTTTAATAAATCTAAAGTCCCGTTCTTCGAATACAATTATCAACTATCCGAAAACTATCCTGGAATGATATTCGGCCGGATATCGCCGGGTGGTTAGTGAAAAAAATCCGGATATTCGAGCGGAACTAAGATCTGGTGAAATCCTACCGACAACATCACAACAGCAGTAACATCATCCCAAGAACATCAGCAGAAATGACTTACTTGCAGACGAGGACTTCGGTGACATTCATCCTTTTGGAAGGCCGACCAACTCTAGAGACGCCGTGGTGCAGCAAGTTACCTATCCGATCGTTCAAATCATTATTTGTACCATTACATTATAATATTATTATTACTTTTGAATAAATCCTAAAATACCTTCAAAAGAACCATCGTAACTTTCATCCAATGAAACATCTATCCGTCCTCCTGTAGAACTCTCCTGATTGGTCGGTCGAAGGATTGATTTTATTGGTTGATTGGTTAAAGGATTGAGTTAATTGGTTAAAGGATCGATTTAATTTGTTGAAGGATTGATTTAATTAGTTAAAAGATTAATTTAATTGGTTAGAAAATTGACTTAACCGGTTAATTGAACAGAATATTTAATTGGTTGATTGATACAGGTTGATTTATTAACCTATCACATAATCTAATGATTGATTGGTCAATTAAAATATTAATTTAATTGGTTGAATGATATGATTAGTCAATTAAAAAATATTGACTCTATTAGTTGATTGACTTAATTGGTCGTACAATACAATTGGATAATTAAATGATTGACGTTTCTGATGGTTGGTAGGTTCAAAGTAGTTAATTGATATGAATGGCTAATCCAAACGATTGATCTAATTGGTTGAATGACATGATTTGATTGGTAGATTGATTGGTTTGGCTGGTTTTGTTAAATATGTGACTGATTTGATTTAAAGCTAATTACTTTTTATAAATTTCTTTTTTTTTGTAATACCACGAAATATCAACATCACACACACACACACACACACACACACACACACACACACACACACACACACACACACAAAGATACCACAATAATGCCAAAAATACCCAAAACACACAAACACACACACATGCGCCAATGAGTCACACATTCCTGGGACACGGATGGGTAGGTAGGAATCTCTTTGTAGTTGAACCCGACAACTTAACCACAACACAGGACGACCTGACTCCCTTAACCGTCTCACTAATAATCCAGAACTCAAGATACAACGAAAAATTAATTACACGTAAAAAAAACAAAAAAAAAAAAAAAACAAGAGAAACCACAAACGGTATGAACAAAATGGAATCTGCTATGACAGAATTTAAGATGGTACATCAGTGACGTGATCTTCCTGCAGTCGAGCATGCACCAGGGACAGGTACACCCCTGGCGAGATTCCGTCTGCTGCCTAACTCGACCGTTTAGTAGGAACTGGTAAAATATTTTCGGCGTTTTGTTGTCATTTTTCGTCGTTGCGGGCAATGCCGTCGTTGTTGTCGTTGTTGGTGGTGGTGTAGGGTTGTTTGGAGTCTTGGATAACTTAAAATCTGGATGGGATTTCAAATTGTAAGTATCATTAATCATCATTTACCAGTTTTAGCAGTGTCATCTCAAGGAAAACAAGGCAGAGTGTTATCTCAAAGCAAAGACAAAATGAAACAGCAATGTAAAACGGCAATTTTAACCAGAGTTTAAAGCAATCTGACCAGGCGTCAGTGAACTGTTACTTATGTTATTATTATTATTGTTGTTGTTACTGTTATTATTATTGTTGTTGGCGTCACTGTCAACCGCAGAACCGTTTGTCATGGTAGGAGCAGTTTTGTTGTTGTTGTGGTACAGTCTGAGGTACTTTGTTGTTGTTGTTGGTAGATTATTATTATTACTATTGTTATTATTATTATTACTACTACTACTATTGTTATTATTATTGTTGTTTTTGTTATCAACCCATTGAAGTTTAAATACGATCTTTGGTCTTTTGATGGCCTCCTTTGGTACCTTTGGTCAAAATGATTGCCATTGAAATTGGCATCATGTACAAGTAATGTATAACAAAATTAAAGATGAATAAATGAATGTAAGAATGAATGAATGAATGAACGTGTAGGAATGAATGAATGAATAAAACGAACGAACAAATGAATGAATAAAACGAACGAACAAGTGATTGAATGAATGAATGAACGAACGAAAAAATGACTGAATGAATGAACAAATAAAAGGAACAAAACATAAAACCTTCTTATCGGCAACAACCTGCCAGACTGCATTGTCGTCAAAATCTTTCCTGGCATTATCTTCGTAGAGCAAAATTTCATACAGACCGTCGACTAAAAGGACATCCCTACTCTGCCTAAACACGCTCAATTCGGCGTACAACTCTTTCGGCCTAGAGTGTAGGCCATCTTCACTCTCATTGTTGTTGCTGTGCTGGTGTTGTTGGGTCGTTGACGTTCTCAAGCGTTTCTTTGGCGGGTCTGCTGTGTCGATTGAAATATAAATGGAGATATGTGTCTGAGTGTGCATGTGGATGTGAGTGTGTGTATGTGTTTGTGAGTGTGTGTATGTATGTGGGTTTGTATGTATAACATTGTGTATATATGAATGCATGTGTGTGTGTGTGTATGTATGTATGTCGTACGTCGAACATACATACACACTGTGTATGTATGTTCGACACTGTGTATGTATGTATGTCGTACGTCGAACATACATACACACTGTGTATGTATGTTCGACGTACGACACACACACACACATACACACAAAGAAGCAAACATACACACACTGCTCACCATCTTGATTTCGGTACAGGATTCTAAATGACAACATTGTTGTCTTCACAGATGACGACATGCAACCTCGGTTTTGATTATTATTATTATTACAATTATTATTATTATTAAGGAGATCATTACTATTACCCCCACCATCTCCTTCTTCTTCATCTTCTTCATCATATAACTGAGCAGAGGGTATTAAGACATGAACACTATTATCATCATCAACTCTACTACTACTACTACTACTGCTGCTGCTACTACAACCATTACTATTATTGTTGTTGTCGTTATTATCATTATTATTAATTAAGATCTCTTTATCACATGTTAGCTGAACCCTGGTTAGAAATCTCACAGAGGCCTCTTGATTGGTTGGCTGTGGAGATGATGATGACGACGATGATGACGATGATTAGATTGATGATGATGGTGAGTAGATGGATGATGATTATGATGAATAGATAGATGATGATGAATAGATGGATGATGATGGCGATAATTAGCTAGATGATGATGGTGAATAGATGGATGATGATGATAATGATTAGCTAGATGATGATGAACAGATAGACGGTGATGATTAAGACGATGATGATGATGATGAGGAGGAAAATGATAAAAACGATGTGATGATGGATAGATAGATGACAAAGATGGATGATGGATAAAGACACACAC